GGCTGCGGCTCCGGCTGCGGCTCCGCGGCCGGCACGGCAGCCCCCGCAGAGCCCCGGCGTGGCCCGGCGCATCCCCGCAGCGTCCCCTTCAGCCCCCCGCGGGGCCGCGGGCCCCCTCCGGGACGCCCTCCCGCAGCTCCCTGCCGCTGGGCTGCGCACAGGGGCCCCCGGGCCTCCTGCCGAGGCTCCCCCAGCTGCCCGGGACACCGGGGTCTGGGGGACCCGCCATGGTGCCCAGGAGGGCCCCAGGATCGCAGGGAGAAGGACTCCTGCTGCTGCCCGGGGCTGGCAGTGCCCCTGAGGCCTCGGGCTGCCCCCCGGGCTGCTGAGGAGGAGGCTGCCTGAGGGCAAAGCGGCCGGCTTGATGCACTGAGCAAACCCTTCCTTTAGCAGCACCTTTAGCGATAACACTGCGAGCAGATAGGCAGTGGCAGTCTGTGGTGGCTCTTGCCTTTCCCTCGGGGAGCAGAGCCAGAGAAGATGCGTCTCCAGAGAGCCCCAAGGCTGCAGGGAGATCTCCGTGCCCGGCTCTCAATAACGCCTTGCAGGTGGGCCTGGCTGCTGCGGCCCATCCGGCTGCGCGGTAATTAAAGAGCTTCAGGAAGATTATATGGGTTCAGATAAATAGGATTATGGAACCTTGTCCTCTCTGATCCTTATTCCAACCAACACTCCAGAAAACCACTTATAATAATCCTGTTGGAGGAACTCTGATGTTTTATTAATCTTCATGGCTCCACAGTGAATGGACAAGAGTTCCAGCTCACATCAGTGGCTTTCCTGATCACAAGCATATCCATTAAGGAAAGAAAAGAAAGAAAAAGGCAACAGTGCATCTCTCCTGGGAGAACCGTAGCTGGAAGTTGCCATCGGTGAGGGTCACCATGGGGAAATGCAGTTTTGGGGCTGGCTGGGGCCCGTGTCTGCATCAGTCACTGGATTCTGTGGTGTGGCCATCATCACAGGTTCTTGACATATTCCATGCAAACTGTAGGATTAACAGCACTACCCCAGGCACTCCTTGGCTGCTCATAACGCCAGCCTCCACACGCTGCCTTCCCCACACAAAAGCCTTTCTGCTGCTGCACACAAAGGGCTCTTTCAGTTGCGTTTGCCTTTACCTTATGCTCCTGTCATGTGTAAAGAGCCTTCAGGTAAAACGGTCAAAGACATAAATTCAGCCAGGATGGAATCGTGCTGCTGTTTTCACAAAGTCAGTTAATTTCTCACTTACAGGAGGGAGGAACGGTATTTGGAAATTGTCTTCTAAAGAGATAAAACACTTGCAGTTTCCACGAAGCAGCACTAGGATCCAACTGCATTAAAATGCTGAGAATTAAACAGAATGTGTCTTCTCTGTGAACAGGACCACCTCGGCCCCGCTCTCCCATCACTTTCACGGGGTAGCATGAGAGTTGCCACTTTTGGAATGGCACAGCCATCACATCCTGATCCCTCATGGTCAGTTGCACTGCAATAACTGTCTTATCACTGCCACTAAACAGAGAAAATAATGCTGTTTCAGCAGGTCTGTTTGTCTTACCTAAGTAGTAAAGAAATAGCTATGTCAGTGAGGATGACAGTGGATGTAAAGCTGGAAACAAAGAAACCTTTACCACCACAAGATGGGGAGAAGAAATACATCCTGAGTCTTCAGGAGTGGATCCAATCAAGGGGACAAACATATCTCCTTCAACTTAACAGTTAGAGGAATTCTCAGTTCTGGTGGATCTGGTGGAGTAGAAGGATCAAGACCTGTGAAAGTAATGGTGTTCCCGATGGCATTCAAAGTGCTACAGCACCTTTTTGTGGAGCAACAGCAGGGGAAGCTTCCATCACCTGTCTAGTGACAAACACGGATATCACCAAACACGGATATCACTTCCGTAACTGCTAGGATTTACCAATGAAATTACAGGTTTCTGGTTCAGGGCCTCACCCAAGTTAACACAAGGAAATATGAAAAGTCAAGGCACACACTGTGTTTATCCCCAGTGCTGGCAGAGGAATCTGAGACAGTGCGAGCCAGTGTTGGCACTGAATGGGGGGCAGTGACATCAGGAAAAGTCAAGCAAAGTAAACGTGACTTGCTTGTGTGTAAAGGGAAATTGCTTTAGCAGAGTCAAACAGGAGTTTTGTGAAGCCCACCTCAAAGATTCAAACCCCTCAAAAATATGAAAATGTCTTTTCTGAGACCCTGTTTGTACTTAATACATTTAGTATTGAACATAAACACCTGGACTCAAACTCCGTATTTTACTGAAACTGTTGCTGTACCTCAGCAGGCAAGAAAAGTTTGCAACAAATCTTCCTTTTGGATATCTGCGCTGCAGAGCTACTCCTACTATGCAGGAACCCTCCTACAAACCTTTAGGCCATGTAAAAGTTCCCCTTCTGCCCTGCAGAGCAGTGCTGCATAGTGTTAGCCAGAATACCCTATCTCTCTGGGCTTCCACACCTCCAGAGAGGTGGGATTAACTTAGCAGAGTTAGAGAAGGGCTCTGAAAACAACTGGAGGTCTAGAAAAAGGGGACACAAAAAAGAATGAGAGAATTGGTCTTCTTTTGTCTGAAGAAAAGACTTCATGCCAACAGTCTTTAGGCATTCAAACAATTGTGGGAAAGAAGAAGGCAATAATTTCTCTCCATTGCCACAGTGGAGGGAACATGCAGTATGGACTCACACCGTAGTTAAAAAAATTAAGAAACAAATCTCTTAATAGCAAAAATAGTGGCTAGGTGTCTGGGAGGTGGCAATGTCTCTATCATTGGAGCTTTCCTAAAAGCAAGTTCTTCAGACATCCCTTGAGACATAGATATTGCTCATCGGCATCCACTCCTGGGGCAGGGGCTAAATCACATGATGGCTCAAATTCCTTTTCAGTCCTATTCTCCCTGGCTTTATATTTATATTTATTTGCAATCTAATCACAGAAAGATTCTGGAATAGCAGCCAAGCATGCTCAGATTGAACAAGCCTCAGACCAACCACAGATAACCCCTCCAGTCTTTGCAACATTTGATGCTGTAAATGCACATATATCACCAAGATCATTGTGGAAAATGATCTTATGAATTTTCATAACAAAAGGATCTACTCGTTTGTGCTCCATTCTGCCTTGTCTTGCTGCCACTGCATTCCCTTATACCTGTGGAGAGAGAGAAATGCAAGTCCCTCATTACACCACTTTGCCTCTCTCTGCCTTCTGCATTACTCTGCCTTCTCTCTGTGCTGTGGCAAGCAATGGACACAAGGCAAGGGAACCAGGCTCTGAACTTGAACCTAGGGACAGTAATCCAGCCCATTCTGCAGCCTGCAAAGCCCAAGTTTTTGTTTCCCTCCAGACCAAGCCAGGAGGTTTGACAAATTCATAGAGAATGAGTGTTTCTTGAGGAATGTGGGCAAATTGCACACATCAGTGATTTTTGTTTTGCTGCATATGCACTACTTTGTTACAGGAGGGATCATCTGGCTGATGTTTGCCTTCATTTTCAGGCTAGATAGCCAGCATTGGACTAGTTCACATTATCAGAACTGTTTGATTGGGGATTCACGATGTTCAGACTGGCTTTTGGGGACTGCCACCACAGCACAAAGGTTTTACTTCCAGTATGGTTCTGGATGCCATTTGGCTTGTTTGTTCTTCCAGCTTCGGTGTTCATACGAATGGAACTTCTGCCTTCCACCACAAGTCATCTCCCTAGCCAGTAAGGCTTTCTGGAGCCCATGGCTTCCATATTTGGGTCTATCAGTTGCTCTATCTGTCTTGTCTTTATTTTTTGGCAGTTCTCTGGATTTGACACCTCAGTGTTCTCCTCGATGGCGGGTTGGCTCACTGCTCTGTGCACCACAGATCAAGGGAGCAGCTGCTGTGTTGAGGTCCCTTCTGCTCCTCAAATCCCACAGAAAACAAGGTGAGGATGGAAACAGGACTTTCAGTGGTAGTTCAGAGAAGAGCTGTTGTAGTCTCCAGTCTCTTAAAAGAGCAGTCACACGAGTACATGAGTAGTTACAGATCCAACATTCAGGCTGCAATTTCTACATTTAATTTTTGTGGGAATGATTTAAAAGCTGTGGGGGAAAAAAAAGGCAAGACAGGAGACAAGGAATCTACTGAAACATCTTCTAGTAGAAGGTCACTTTCGAGGAGGGATTTTGCCAATGCTAGAGTCTTTCTCTGCCCTGCATCCCGCAGCCCCGCCTCATCCTGGAAATGGCCTAAGTTTTGATTTCCTTCCAGCGGCTGGTTTAAACTCTCTCACACACATATTTTTTCCCCCCAGCCAGATTCAGCTGCTTTCTATTTCCTGCTTCCTTGTCTATGCTGTCTCCCTGCCAGGTACCCAACACACCTGCTAGCACCACCAGCGAGCATCAGAGAGAGAGGGAGGTGAGCCAGCAAGGAAATCACACTTATCTGAGCTCTGCTAAAGCCAGAGAAAGGAGGGAGAGCTGTGAAATGAGATTGGTCATGAATCTGCTGCAGCAGCTCAAAGAAGGAACAAGTTGTTTCGTGCATACTGCTTTGCGTGCAGCTCCACAGAACTGGTGCTGCATCAAATTGAATTTCTGCCTGCAAGCAGACACATTTTGTTAGGATCTACTCAGTCCACATAGGGGCAAGACATGCTGGATTATTCAAGTGAGTCAGAGACTCGC